GCCTTTGGCTTTGTTCGACAGCCCCGCTCACGAATCCAAGTTCGTTGTCTGTCATGTTTGCTGGGCTGTTATCTATCGCACCGATGTTGAGGGGCACATGGTGAACGAGCATACGGGTTATTGCATGATCTGCGAACAACACATCCAAGCGCAAGATAAAGGCCTACTGGATCACATGAAGAACCAACACCAGTACTGTTCACTATGTCTAGGCATTCAAGATATCGGAGAGTATTACGAGCACTTAAAGACTGATCACCTGAGTCAATGTAGAGTATGTCACATCCAGTTCAAGTCACACAAACTTGTTTCTCAACACTTGAGAGAGCAACATGAATGGGACATCTACCTACACGACGACAAAGAGCTAGGAGGCCCGCCGAAAACAGAAACCTGTCCGTTGGAGCGGTGTGCAATGAAAATATTCCCAGATGGATTACGCCAACACATCTTCGGTGAGGGCAAGGCTCGCCATGCGCTTAAGCCCTGTTTGCACTGTCCTACCGCCCAGAGAATAAATGTTCTATCGGAGCATCTTACTCGATACCACAGTTGGTTTTGCTGCGAAAGAAGACATATGGATCCTACGGAATATGATGTTCATCGCTGGATAGAGCATGCCGTCCACGGGGAAAACACCACACTGGATGAAGTGACTGCTGAACGAGACAGCGGAAAAGAGACAGGAGGGGAATGACGTAAAGGGGTAGAAGTGCATTTTTTGCTCAAAGACTAGAGTAATATCGAAGTGATCGGATAGCTTCGGCCCAGAACAATCATCGCCGCCCGCGACGAGAAGATTTTTTTCAATATCACTACGCGACTTCATGGCTTAAAGGCGGTGGTCAAACCTTTCCTTCATACTTTAAACATTTGATCGTTCTGTGAAAGCATCATTTGGCTATATGGCCGTTTCGGAGTCATTTTGAAGAGGTTCGTTTTTAGGTAGTGATATGGTCACTTTCTGGACGTCTTGAAAGTTCGGATTGCGTTCTCGGAGCTTTTTAAACTTTTCTATTTGATAGCAGATGTCACCAAGTGAGTCCAGTGTACTGACAACCACGGCTATTAGGGACCGATAAGGTTCCTCGCTAGTCTAAGTAAAACTGTATGGGGCATGTCCCTTAAGACATTTCCTTGCTTCTTTTGCCAGGTCGCGCTGCCCAGGCGACAGGGCAATCGTGTCATGAGTCGCCATGTCATAGCCATGCACGGAGTTCAGAATGTGATGGTGGCGGTTATGTGTCCGCGGGCCTTGTCCTCGACCCCGCCGGAACAACAAAGCACCGCTACGCCGATGACGTGGTGACGGTAGGCTAGCCATCGCGACAAACTAGGACGATGGACAGAGATTGAGCGTTGGCTGGGATAGACAGTGCTTAAATATCATTCAAAAATGATGGCGGTGTAATCTGAGTTTGACCGACATTACCTTGTGCCTCACTTTCCGCTGTGCCGGACAGGCCAAGTGACCATCTGACCTTGACTGCTTCAGCTCGGGCAGAGTTAGTGGGCACCTCAAACTTGGCACTAATTTTGTTTTATTATATTCATCCCTGTTTGCAAGTAAAGCGAGCAACTTTATCAGCATGTACTTACAATCACCAGCCTCTCCAAATTCGACCTCGAAGAATAAATAGCACCCCCAACCCTCTTTTAGTCACTCCGTGATGACCTCAACAAGATGCGTGCCTTTGATGCCGGTTGTGCTTTCTTGGACGAATATTGCATCTCCGACAACAATTGTCTGATATCGATCCGGTCGGACCAATTTTTCTTATCGCCTCAGCATCTCGTTTTCAAACAAATTTCCTGGCTTGGCCGTTCCCTTTTGGAAGCTGATCACATATCACACTCCCCGCCACAGAGAGCAACCGAGCTTGAGACCTGCCTGAGTAACCTACATTACCAAACCTCAATCCAATTGTATATCATCAAGGCAATTGCATATCAGAACGCGTCTTGCCCAAGATCTGGCAACGCAGTCTGGCGCAGCTGGGCCGCCATCAAACATTATGGGTGAGCATAGTCAGTGGCCGAAGTTAACAAATGCGTGCTAATCGAGGCAGCCTTCCGACATTAGAAGAAAGTGACCAATCTTATTTGAGCCTGACATGGCTAAATATTGTGCTAATCCAGTACGTGCGCCTCTGGCCATTGAGAAATAGCGGCTTACGTTACTCCTCTATAGTAATGAACCCTGCTTCCCGGATAATGGGGTTGACTGGAAATGGATTCATTCTGCTATCGAAATACTACCACTTCCGAAGCCATTCAACTTGCAGAACCGCGCAGAGGAGTTGAAATCCCATTTGAAGTTATTGTTATGCTCAAAACCAGCTTGAGGTTATACTCTCTGTCTTTTAAATAGGCCTTGCGCTGTAACAGCTAAGAATGGGCGGCACTAGCGCTAATTTACAGGCCCGCGGGCCTATTAGTTAGTGTAAAGACCTGGAAACGCCCACTAACACCGCCCATCTTTAGTTGTTACAGCGCACGCTAATTTTTTTTAAGACAGAGAGTGACCTCAAGCTGGTTTTGCACATAACAATACGCCGAAGACGGGCCGAAGGAATATAATAATAAAAAGCCGTGCTTGATATTCTGGTAAGTTTTGCTGCAAATTGCTCACAATTAGATCTCGTCGTGAGGTGGTCCTTGAATCATCATGGTGGAACGCGCTGGCGACGCGATCGAAGTGGGGGCCACTAGTCCCCCATTGAGGCGATCTGGTCGTACCGCGACGCCGAGTTCGAAAGCCGTGTCGGTGCGAAATACAGTGGAAAAGGTGAATGCGGTGACCGAAAAAAGTGATGAACGAGTTCCGAGCATCGTATCGGAAGCGACCGAAATGAGAGCGGCGCCCGAGGTGGATGGGGAAGGCTGTACGGCGGAGGCTGCCATTGCGGGCATGCAAAGGATGCTGGAGCTGATGGAGAAGTCGTACTCAAAGATGCGACAGATGGAGGAAAAAACGAATGACCAAAGCAAGATAATCGAAGGCCTTCATCAGAAAATCGGAGAAATGCAGCAGGAACTCGGTCAAGCGAAAGTTGAACTCAAGCAAGCATGTGAGGAGCTGGCCCAGACGCGTACCGCGCTTGAAGCCATCACCAAATCACCCGTCTGGAGTAGCCCACAACCTTCCTACGCCGACATGGCACGAACGCCACCAGAAAGTCACCCAAGCAACGTTATGACGCTATCGACTTCACGCACAGCCAGTACAAGCTCTGGTGATACTATATACTGCACGATCGACATGCAGGAAACTGAGGACAGCGTGAATGAAAGGGTGACCGCGAAGACGATCCGAACGATTTTGGAGACAGAAATGAGAGCGAAACCTCACAACGGTGCGTGGCGGTGCCGGGCGGTGACCGAGGACCGGTCAAACCCTCAGCGCATGAGAGTCGTCTGCCGCAATGAAAGTGAGCAAGACATGGTGAAGAAAACGATTGAAGAGAAACTTCCTGCAGCCCGGATTCTCGACAATGGCTACCATCGACTCCGCGTGGATGGCGTCCCCCGCACAGTGATGCTTGACGAGGATGGAAACGACTTGCCTGAAGTGACAGCAATCCTCAGCACGGCGAACGATACCGAGGTGGCGAAAGCGACTTGGCTGAGCGATAGGCAATTGAAGAACTACGGCTCGATACTGGTGGAATTCAAGAAGGCTTCCGAGGCTCGACGATTTTTGGACGAGGGGTTCTTCTATGTGGGCGATGTCTCGGCGAAAACTGCAGCATTTAAGCACCAACCCCGACCAAAGCAATGCTACAACTGCCAGGAGCTCACTGGCCACAGAGCAGCAGACTGCAAGAAACCACGAGTCTGTGCAAGATGTGCCAAGGAGGGTCATCATCACAGGGACTGCACCGAAATCACTGTCAAGTGCGTGCCTTGTGGTGGTCCGCACGAATCGTTCAGCAAAATCTGCAGGTTGCTCTATCCCGCTAGGAATGAGTAACACACTGCGCATCATTCAACTGAACGTTCACAAACGAGGAGAAATTCACGATAGCTTGATGAACGACGACGATAATGCTGATGCAGCCATTGTGGCCATTCAGGAGCCGCACGCCCGCTTGATCCAAGGCCGGCTGCTAACAACCCCAATGGCACACCATAAGTGGATCAAGCTAGTTCCTACGGTATGCAATACGGCGGGAAGATGGGCGATTCGAAGTATGATGTGGGTGAGGAGGGACCTCGAGGTGGAACAAGTGGCAGTAGAGTCGTCGGACCTGACGGCCGCGGTGATCACACTCCCGGAACGTAAAGTAATGGTGGTCTCTGTCTATGTACAAGGGGTAGACAAGCAAGCATTGACAGATGCATGCGCTCTGCTTAGGACTACTATTATGAAAACGAGGCGAGACGAGGGACAGATTGTTGACGTGGTCCTGGTTGGAGACTTCAACAGACATGACCAGCTATGGGGTGGTGAAGATGTGTCGTTGCTCAGGCAAGGAGAAGCGGACGAAATTATCGACCTTATGAGCGAATACAGTCTGGACAGCTTGTTACCGAGGGGGACCAAAACGTGGCAAGGAGGAGAGTACGAATCGACGGTGGACTTAGTACTGGCGTCCGAAGGACTGTCACAAAATCTGGTCAGCTGCAGAACGTCTAACACGGAACACGGCTCGGATCACAGGACCATTGAGACCACATTTGAAATGGTGGCAGCAGAGGCCAACGTCCAAGATAGACTGTTGTTGAAAAACGCACCGTGGAAAGAGATTCGGTCGAGAATAACGGCGAACATAACAGACACGACCGGTGGAACTGCACAAGAAAAAATGGATGCACTGGCAACTGTGGTGGGAGAGGCAGTCCACGCACTCACACCGAAGGCACGGCCGTCGCCGTACTCGAAGCGATGGTGGACATCGGATCTAACGCAGCTGCGGCAAGTATACACGTACTGGCGAAATCGTGCAAGAGCAGTGAGGCGAGCCGGATGCACTGATCCGGATCTCCAGAACGCAGCCATGGCAGCAGCCAAGCAGTACCATGATGCCATCCGACAGCAGAAGAAAGCCCATTGGGAGAACTTTCTGGCAGACAACGATAACATCTGGAAGGCAGCCATGTACCTTAAATCGGGTAAGGAATCAGCGTTCGGTAGGGTACCACGACTCACACGAGCCAATGGCACCCACACAACCTCCAATGCAGAACAGGCCGAGGAGCTTCTGACTACATTCTTTCCACCTCTGCCGCAGCAAATTGAAGAGGAGGACGAGCACTCCACGCGGACGGCCGTAGCCATGCCTGACCTTACAATGGAGGAAGTAGAGAGGCAACTGATGGCGGCGAAACCGTGGAAGGCACCTGGCAAAGACGGTTTACCAATGGTGGTATGGCAGAAGGTCTGGCCCGTGGTCCAGCACCATGTGGTAGCGCTGTTCCAGAAATCGCTTGATGAGGGCGCGTTACCGCATCAGTGGCGACACGCGAAGATCATTCCGCTTAAGAAAAGTGGCAAGGAAGACTATGGCATCGCAGGCTCTTGGCGTCCGATATCGTTACTATGCACACTGGGCAAAGTGTTAGAGTCCGTCATTGCGGAAAGACTCTCCCACGCAGTGGAAGCATTTGGGCTTCTCCCCACTAACCATTTCGGAGGACGTAAGCAAAGATCGGCGGAGCATGCGCTGTTGCTTTTGCAGGAACAAATATTCGCAGCCTGGCGGGGAAGAAGGGTGCTTAGTCTTGTCAGCTTCGATGTGAAAGGGGCATATAATGGCGTGTTCAAAGATCGACTGCTCCAAAGGATGAGGACAAGAGGTGTACCGGAGAAAATTGTGCGTTGGACCGAAGCCTTCTGCTCTGATAGAACGGCCTCCCTCCAGGTCAATGGTCAAGAATCCGACGTACAGGATCTGCCCCAAGCGGGTTTGCCGCAGGGCTCACCTTTGTCTCCTATAGCATATCTGTTTTTCAACGCAGATCTGGTCCAACGCAAGATCGATGCCAACGGAGGCGCAATTGCATTCATTGACGACTTCACAGCCTGGGTCACTGGTCCAACGGCACAAAGCAACCTGGAGGGAATTCAATCGATCGTCGAACACGCAACAGACTGGGAACGGCGCAGCGGAGCGACGTTCCAGGCGAAGAAGACTGCAATTATGCACTTTACTCGGAATGCACAAAAATTAGACACAACACCCATCATGATCAAAGGGGAGATGGTGAAACCCAAAGGACATACCAAGATTCTAGGTGTGGTGATGGACACTCGGCTCAAATTTCGACAGACGCCTATCGACAAAACATCGTGATCTCAACGCGCAACAAGGCGGCAGTGGCAGCGCTAAATCGACCCCACCAGCAGTCAGGACAAGAATTCATCAAGTGTATTTACGACTCGGTGGGGGAACTGGCTGACAAAGGAAACACTGTTGTGGTGAGTTGGGAGTCACCGGACAAGAACAAGCTGCTACACACGGCCAAAAAGCAAGCAAAGGCAGCGACAGAGCAAGGGGCGGTGCCACACGCCCCGTTTCCAGTCATGAAATCAACACTGTTGTATATCGAACAGAGGAAGCTTACAGGCGAACGGAGCATACCTGAAGGAGTCGGGCGATTCACCAAGACAATTGATACGGCCATACCGGGGGACCACACGCAAAAAATTTACGAAGAGCATTCATGGAAGGAGCGATCAACGCTTGCTCAACTGCGGACGGACATGGGGAGGTTAAACGGATACCTCCACCGTATCAAGGCAACGTCCTCTGGGCAATGCGCGTGCGGGGAGGCGAGAGAAACGGTGGAGCACTTTCTTCTGCACTGCCCACGGTGGGACGAACAGCGGACAGGATTTCGCGAAGACGCAAGTACAAAATGGGATGACTTGTCGTTCCGATTAGGAGGCAAATCACCAACAGACGGACCGAAATGGAAACCAAATCTGGGAGCAGTTCGAGCGACGATACAGTTTACACTGGCCACGGGACGGTTCGACTATTGACGAGCAAATACCCACGACAAGTTTTCAACATAACACAAAACCGCAGTCACGACGCAATTGACTAGCGACGCTTCGGTCGCTGAAGATAGGACGCCGAACACTTGAGGAATAGCCCTCAAGCTAGCTAGTTATTGATAATAAACAAAGTGAATGTGGTTGGGTGGAGGCGAAAGACGAAGCAAATCGAGCAAAAGGATGACAAGGATAGAAGCGAAGGGAACGTTACGGGAAAGTAAACATGTACCTAAGCATAGCTAGTGAGCCCTATTGGCCGGAGGCCACCGGGCGTAATAAATCATGAATGAATGAATACGCCGAAGAGAGAGAATACCTCCTATTGCCCCCGGGGACTGGGACGGCCCCGGCAGGCTCTACATGTATTTCAGTCGAGCATTTGACAGGATCGGGGCTTATAAATTATTCTTCAGGCGTGCATTATTCGATGTCGGCTTCCTGAGCCGTGAAATACTGGATTTAGTGCTTGATTTCTATCATCTACCGCAGTTCCTAGAGCCAGCCGAGTCGGCTCTCATTCAGCGCCGGTAACAATTCCGTGATAATTTGGATGATTGCCTTATAGCTAACGTTTTAAGTTAGGGAAGCACTGGCAATGACTTTTTTTCCATATCAGATATATGGCTCAGCATGGGAGAGAAGGCTTGAGTTTATTTCTCAAAATATTCAAGATAGCGATAGTGACTGCGCTGCTGCTTATTTAGCAAAAACAAACGCAATCTGAAGATGTAATTAAACCAGCAGAACTAAGCTATTCCACTCCAGATTGATCTTCTGATGACTCTAGCAGTGATATAAGGGAATGTGGTATCCTGAGGCTTGATTGGCGGAATAACAGTTGGGCAGCAGGATAATTTGTCCCTCAGCATCGTTGCGTAATTAATGCTTGCCGCTGATAAGTGGGCACCTGTAGTTAGTAACCCTCTGGCTTACTACCTAATCTGGTTCCTGAGTGCCCCAAGTTTACCATGCGTAGGTGTGCTGCATGCATAAATTACAACCCCTCATCCATCGTACTCTTCGCACATGCTTACCACGGTCACACGTAACCGCGCCTTCATTTGTGTTCTTCCTCAGGGCATACAACCATCAATGGCGCTACTTCGTCAGGAGCTTCCGCGTGCTCCAACCGAGGACGAAATTCCGACGATCGCCCAACGACATGCTGCAGCCTATACTCAACTACTAGAGCATATCCTTGCTGGCGTGGGCCTCGACAACGCGACGCTTGAAAACACCGTGCTTGCTATTGCACATCTTGAAAATTCACAAGCAACCGAACGTGCCTTGTTAATGGCGCTTAAGTACTGCTCACCCTTTTGGAGTGTTCAAACAAAGTGCGAGGAGGCGGAGGCGCTGTGGCAAGAACTGGGCAATGGCCAACGCGAGCGGATTTATTCACTCATTGCCTCCGCAAGGGCAACCAGCCCGCAGCAACACACACAAGTCATTAGGCTAGCTGATAAGATGCTGTCTGATCTACAAGATCTAGGCATTGGCAGCATGCACGGCCCTTCAGCCAAGAAGATCCAGGCAAATAAGGACAGTATTCAGCAGCATAGCCTCATGTTTCTACGCAACCTTCGTGAGGTGGATCGCAGCTCAGAAGCTGATATCAACGAGTTGGACGACATTTTAAATCAATTACGAAATACAGAGCTTATTGAAGCTGACGGGCAGCCAGCAAAACTCCGCGTTCCCTATACTGGTAACTACCATACCGTGATGCAGCGAGCACACAGTGCAGATATTCGCAAGAAGATGTTCGAGATTCACTCCAGCCGCTACAATCGGAATACCTCTCTATTCAAAGAAATCCTCCTCCTGCGTGACGAGAACGCTCGTCTTCTTGGGTTCGAGAATCACGCTGAGTTACGACTTCCAGACCGTCTCCCACCCTCGATCGCCGCTGTCAATAAGCTGTTAGGATCTACCCTGGACGCTTTACAGCAACACAAACAGGCTGAGACCGGAAGCAGATTAGCAGCCTCCGAGTCCCTGAAAAATGAGGATGAAACTATTATAACTCAACCATGGGACAAAGCCTATAACAGAGCAAAGCTGGCCCAGGAGAGTAGAGTTGCCGGGGCCACCAAGTTTGCAGAGTATTTTCCTCTTTGGCACACGGTCCAAATGATGATAGTACTAGCTCAAGATCTATTTGAGCTGAAGTTCGAGTCCATCACGGCAGAGTCACTGCTCGAGGCCAACTGGCCCAAAGAGGTGAAAGGATGGCGAGTGTGGGAACGTGAGCCCAGCAGTAACAGCTTTATTGGATACTTTCTGGCGGATTCGCAAGATCGACCACATAAGTATAAAGGCAACCAAAGTGTAAATCTAGGACCGGTAAGTTTTTTTAACTCTCTAATAGGATATGCATCTAAGAATCATTCTTCTCTAGGGATATATAAGAGAGGATTTAACACGGGTCTATCCAGCCAACTTACTTATGTGCTGCTTCAATCTATCAGCGAGAGATCATATCTATCTGCTTGAGCACGCCAATATTCGTACTCTATTTCACGGTATGTATTGAGTCTTATATCTATAACCTAGTCCATTCTAAGATCTTGTAGAATTTGGGCATAGCTTACATGACCTGCTCGCCCGCACCAGATTTGCCAAACAGCATGGCTACAATGTTAAACGAGAGTTGGGCGAGGCAATCGCGTTTGCATTCGAACAGTGGGCATGGAATGAGCGGGAGCTCAAAGCCATGAGCTGCCACTATTCTCTCGTGCCAGAAGCTGGTGTGACAGGAAACCAGCACTTTAACCGCCCAAATACAGAAATATCAGACGACATTTTAAAGGCACAGCTCAAGAAACAGGCGTCAACAAAGCGAGCAAATACAACAGGACAAATGTAAGCTATTATGCAATCATAATTGGGAAGTGATCTGACCATTGTCTTAGGGTTTATTGTCTATTCGATATGGCTGTGCATACACCTCCCACTCACCAGGCCTTGCTCGACATGAGCGTGGCCGAGGTATGGCGGGATGTGTTCTGCGTGCCATGACCACGCCACCGACCATCGCCAATTCCTACGTCGGGTTTGGGCACCTGGTTTCGGACTACGATGCGGGGTACTATACATATATCTAGTGAGTCTGCCCGTCTACTCCCCTTTCCGGTCAATAAATTTCTGACCGGCGAACTCTGTAGTGCGGATGTTGTGGCTGCCAATTTGGCGAGGACCCTATTTGCGACGGACCCGCGGGAAAAGCAGATGTGGAACAAGTTTCGGCGCGAGATTCTGGAGAAAGGCGGAAGTGAGGACGAATATACGCTGTTGAAGGATTTTCTAGGGTACCCGCCTGACGACACAAGTGCGTTCTTCGCGGCACTGGGATTACAACTCAACCAGCCCAAGATTCAACCACGAAATGACAACCCTCCGGACGCGGAATCACAGACGCAGCTCGAAAACAGAACAAAATATCGAATAACCACTTGTTAGAGTGTTCTATTGTGCATTGCTATAGTGTTTAGACAGAACTATCGTGACAGGCATGACAAGAGCCGAAGCCAAAAGGCCGGCGCTCAGACTCGTCCATCCAACCAAACTGACAAGGAAAGCCGTTGTCGAGACAAGTTTGGCTAGGGTCATTGCGATACGATGTGTGTCGGTGTATAACTGGCACGCTTTTGCACTATACATGGTCTTAATTAAAATGCTGGATACGGTTCAAAATCACTTCACTTACCTATGTATCCTCATTTGAGCCAAGGCTGGCTTAGAGCTCAGTGCCGCTTGGATAGTGAGCTGAATTTGCTAGATGTGACCCATTTCAGCCATGAATCTACCAAGATCTCAGAGATCTTGGAAAGTCCCAGAAGAAGCGCAAGGCGAACCCCGTACCAGGCGGAGCGCGCCTGCTTAGTACTGAGCCAGTGCAGCAAGCGATATGTTATGAGCTCGAGAGTTAGTATGACGAAAGACTTGAGAATTGCGACACCTCATTGCAGAAGTACTGAGTTGATGCAGGATTTGGCCAGAATAACGGTCACTATGCGACTTTTGACGGGAGATCTGTGCATGCTGTTGACCAAGGTTTTATACTCTTAGCTTTGGGCAGAGAGCAGGTAAGTCTTTCACGTTTAGTGTCCAGAGATTTTGGAGACTTACTATCTTTCTAGACCATAAAAATGTTATCAGCTCCAGAAGCGACCCGGTGTGCTGGCGATCAACCAGTCTGCCGTCGGAAAATGCGTCCGATCGTCGAGGAACAGAGAGGAAGCAAACGAGCAACAACAGGGACATCAAAACGCCAACTGCACGAAATGTCGA